TGTGTGTGTGTGTGTGTGTGTGTGTGTGTGTGTGCATGCGCGCGCGTGTGTGTCTTAACCACTAGGGGAAGAGAGAAAGGACATCCTTGAAAAGACCAGCAAATTGAAGTTTTATCTTATGATATTCCCTGTGGCTGAAATGACCTTCCTCTGCTTTCTCTCTTCATGTACATACATATACGTATGTATACAAACATACACATCACACACATAGTTACATTTTAATAAACACTGGGAAGAAACAGCAATTATACATGCCGAAGTGTCAAGGGAGCATTCCCCTGGAGAGCTAAATAGGAATAAGAGATGAGTACATTTTATATATTATTAAATATTTTAATGCATGAGATAATTTGCAATTTTAACTTTCATAAAACAAAATATGACATTTATAAGATATCTTTCATTCAGTATACACCGTAGATGAGATGTAGATTAAGACCTCAAAATTGTAAGACACAATTTTACTGACAATGACACAATGAGCTGTATTTCATGCAGGGAAATTTGAACCGAATCTTAAAGAAAATTAGAAGAGGCAGGGCTCAGGAATGTCTTTCCTGATGTTAAGGGAGAGCAGAGTAATAGCTAACACAGGATAGCATGCATCTAGCTGGCCTTTGTTCAGACTGGAATGAAACGGACCTCATAGAACGGTGGTATAGAGCCTATCCCTTTGAGGGCTGGGGTAGTGTCAATGTCTTTTGGATCAACCAGAGATTTCAAAGTAAAATGCTGTAAAATGCTGACCAGGAATAAAAACACCTCCATGCGGGCCAGGCCTTCTCCAACACAAACTCTTTTTCCTAAAAATGACACATAAATTAAATACTCATTTAATTGTATTTCTGATCTAGCATGCAGGAAGTTTAAATAAATGCAGAGTGAATGAATACATAAATATATATATATACTAATAAAAGACCTATTAAACTATGGCTTCTCCTGTTTACACCAAAACCTGGTTTGCTTCATTTCCTTACAACATATTTCTATGTGCATGCTATATGGAAAAATATCTTTGCTATATACCCATGTTGGAATTGCTTGGCTGAGGTTTGCCCGTAACACCTTTCTACACACACACACACACACACACACACACACACACTTATCCTCAGGGGCATGAGAAACACACTACACTATTCCATCTACCTCTAACCCAAGATTCAACAACAGAGTTATTTCTCCTCACCTGGATTCCTAAAACTAATCTTAACCTTGTCATGTCCCTGCTTTCAAAGTATTTCAAGAGCTTACCATTGCCAACAAGAAATATCACACACCAGCTACAAGTATTACTAACTATTCAATAATCCCCAGATAGGCAATTTCAAATGTTAGGTATCCAGGCATCCCTTCAACTGAAATAGTCTTTCCCTCTGCTCTGCCTGCTGATATTCCCGACACCCTTCTAGGTCCAGCTCAGATGTCATTTATTCTATGCAAACCTCTCTGATGTACTCAGGCGGATATGATCCACAGCCTTATCTGTTTCCCACAACTCATTAATGTGTCTACTACAAAATATTTCACATGAGATTTTAATTATTCCTCTGTCCCACAGAATGGAATTTAAGCTTGGAAGGTAAGGCCTTAGCTCTTGTAATGATACCACAGTGTCAGGACAAAAGCAAGCCTGCAAGTCCTGGGAAAGGTGTAGAAATCTCAAGCACGTTTATTATACAACAGTGGGTCCAAAACACAGGAAGGAAGAGAAGGGGTGGAACAGCAGGGTCTTGCTTTGGGATCACCTCCCGGCGTTGTTCATAATCTTGGGACCACAGTACCCAACGGGCACTTCTTTCCGATTTTCTTAGATATTCAAGCAGGAGCAAATCTCTCATTTTTGTCCCTCTTTCAGTTACTTCTAGAGGAAAGGCCCTTCACCCTCTACTCTTCCCCTAGCTTCTCTTTTGGAGTGTGCTAAGCATCTTCTTCATCTTCCCGGCTCCATTCTCTGCTGGTTTGTCTTCTATGCCTACTCTGTGTCCAGGAAGCTGCTTTCGATAGACTGCTTCAACCAACAGTTAGGTCCCTTCTTCATGGTCAATACATTCAGAGGACTGCACATTAAAAAGCTTAGAGTATTTATTCCCTCAGTCCCAGCCTGCCAGGGCACACTTTAGGCGTTGGCTGTATTCCCCAATCTATAAACCCACCTCCTGTTGAGGCTTCCACTCTCTCTGTGCTAGACGTCTGCTTGTTCCAGGAACAGCCTCCTCCTCCTGACCCTCCCCACACAAGACAGTAACATTCTCCTGCTGGTGCTAGCCTCTGAGTCCTTTACCACTCCTTGCTACTTCCCTTCATCCTGCCCACACCTCTGAAAACAGTCTCTTCATTAAACTGCTTTTAATTAATCTTTTTCAGTATCCCACGTGTTTCTTTCAAGGGCCCTGACAAATTGAAAGAAGATACCGCGATGTTTCTTCCTGCAAGAAAATTGCCCTTATCCTCCAACAACTCTGGCCTTGGCCCCTGCCCCACAAAAGGCAAGAGTCAGGAGTTCCTCTCTCTGCTCCTACAGAAACCCTTTAAAGAGCATTTGTCTCTGTGGAGTCTCATTGCCTGTTAATTTGCTTTCATCTCTCTTAGAGGATGGATCTCTTTCTTATTCACAGTTGGATCCCTGGATCTGAGTGAGCATGGGTCTGCTACATGTGTCCTCATTGAAGTTTACTGAGTGAACTGGCTTCTCAGGGCAGGTGAGAAAAGTCTTAGTGGCACTGGACGTCTAGGAGGAGTTCTTAAGAACCTTAGTGGTGGGTTGCAGGGCAGAACTCAGTAAACGCAACCTCCAATGCAATAAGAAGAAATCTGGACCTTAGGAGTGGTGCCTCTAGCCTCATGCAAATGACAATCTGTCCAAGGCAGAGTAGCTTCCATGTAAAGCCCTTCCTCATCTCATTTGACCCTAATGTACCGATAAAAATGAAGCATGCTTGCCTGCTGAAAAAGTCATGAAGTAGTCACTCTTCTTAAAGTTGCCTCTTTCATCCAGGAAGTGACCAGGGTCAAACTGCTCTGGATTGGGAAACTCTTTGCCATCATACAGAACAGAAGTCAGAGATGTTACTATGGCTGTGCCCTGAGATAAGACAAACAGGTAAACTGGATTATAGAGAAGGTCATGGAACTTGGAGGGAGAGATGCCTTGTCTAATCCTTTTCTTTTATACATCAGGAGAGTGAGGCACAAAAATATTTTTTTACTCCACGTCACAGAGCAAATTAATGACCAAGCCGAACAAGTCCTAAGTCGTATCATCCCGGTGCAGAGCGCTGTTAACTGACTCCAAGGGCATCCTCCTCAGTTTGTAGTCTGACACCAGCACTTGCTTTTCAGAAAACTTGAGGGAGCTGCACTTTTGTTGACAAATAAATTGCAGTATTGTCTAAGAGTGCTGATGTCACTGATAATCCAGCTCACTCTCTTCGGAACCAAGTATGATGTCTTAGAAACTCTACCTGAGTGGCCATATTCATGAAAACCATTTTCCCAATAAGATGAGGAACTGGTAGATAACCCTTCCTCTGCTACTTTCCTTCAATGTAATTGTTGCATATTCTTGTGGAAATAAGAGGGCATTTCTTAGCTTCGAGTAAGTCTTCCTAAACTCAGAGATACAGTGTACACCATAATTTGGAGTTTAGTTTACAGCATCAATCAAATATTTCTCTCTTAAACTAAGCTCTGTGACCACAGGTAATTTGTTTAGCATTTCCATGCCTCATTTTCAACACAATGAAAACATAAGCAATACGTCAGCATTAGTTGAATGTAAATATAAAATAATATATGAAGTACTTTTTACGCAAAGATTACCACATGTTAAAATACTCAGTAAAGAACTTTTGTTACTGTTATGGTAATAGTGATTGTATTCACGATGCTGCAGGATAGTCATAAAGGTCATACATTTAGTACCTAGCAGAGACAAAATTCAAATGCAGATCCGTCTGAATGCTTTGTGTTTATGTTTCTAAGAATATATCAATTTTTTCTAGGCTGTCCAATTTGGGGAAAATAGATACACTCTTAGGAACATACAACCCACCAAGAAAGACTCATGAAGACTTAGAAATTTTGAACACACCAATCACTGGTAAGGAGACTGAGATTTCCAACAAAAGAGCAAGGTCCAAGTGATTTCACTGATGAATCCTACCAAATATTTAAAGAGGAATGAAGACCAAACCTTCTCAAATTCTTCCAAAAAACAGAAGAGAAAGGTGAAAGCTTTTCCTCTAAGTTTGGGAACAAGACAAGGATGAACACTCTCACCAATTTTACTGAAGAGAACAGGCCAGGATTGGGGGAAATTTTTTTTAAGATGTAAGAGAATTGATTATGTTCAAATGATAATGGAAAGAAGACAGCAGGCAGGGAGAGAAGAAACTGAATGAAAAAAGAAGAGATGATTATTTGAGGAGGATTCCTGAAAAAGGGAGAGGAGAGGGATCCATGATACAGGAAAAAAGATTTACTTTAGATAAAAGGAGAGCCCTTCTCCCACAACAACAAAGTGAAAGAGAAATCAAAGGGTGTGGATGTCGCTAAATTTGTAAATCTAGTGCAAGGGAGTTGAGGGAGTTCCCCTCCAATGGCTCTGATTTTCTCTGTGGAAGACCAGGTCACTTGAGAAAAAGTCCATGGTAGAGGATTGGAAGGGGAGAATTCAGGGCTGAAAGTCACTGGCGTGTGTGGCGGAGCAAGGAGAGCGAGGTCACAAAGGAAGACTGTTGGGTAAGACTGAGGATATGTGTTGGGATATTGATAATGATACCAACCTGCCGGGCTGCATGGCCTTTTCCAGAAGAGGTAAGTAGCTCAAAGACAGGCAGGGAAGAAGATTATTGCCGTGGGACTTTAAAAAAGTAAGTGAAACAGATAGTTATGGAGGCAGGGGGTGGGGTACGTGGAAACACAGGATACTGGTTAAGTGGTAAGAGTAATAAAGGAAATAAAGTAAAAAAGTAATAAAGGAGTAATAAGGGAAAACAGGGAAGTGGACAGAAGATTGGGAGACTGAACAGGCAGAGTGTGGAGCTATGAATGTACTGAAAATCCTGTGGGAGTGTAAGCACTATGATATGTATTAAACTGTATCGACAAACTAGGAGCAATGGTGCATGTGGTCAGAGGGTGAAATGTATGAGTTATGATTGTGCAGTATCTACAGAAAGTTAGGCAATCTATAATTCTACTACCATGATAGTTGATAACTAAGATTCTGAAGGGGGAGTATAGATGAAATACCTCTCACCTTGGGAATAATGTATTCTCTGAATTTAACGTCCTGAGTTGTT